CATTCCTGCATCATCAAGATCCCCCTTTGCTTCTTCTGGATTTATACTACGTTATTTGGGCGATAACCCTCTGCATTAGGAAGAAGGGGTTAAGATGTATGGCCTGCTATTTCCTAGTGGTGTATAATGACCACTGTTCAGGGGGTCCAGACCTTCCCTCGCTTCTGCCTCCCTCTGCTCCCCGATGGACAAGTATCTTTGCCCTGGGGGGCTTGGTTAGGCAGCTCTTGTGTCTCTCCTAGGTCTATCCAGCTGTAAGAGCAAGAGATCAAGGACTGGAACTGGAGCCTGGGCTCCCTGCATGAGAAAGCCTAGCACAAATCCCACAGTAATAAATAGTGTTCAGTATTTTGTTGAATAGGAGGACACTGTGAGTTTGACCCACCTCCCAGTGGAGCGAGTCAGAGTTTAGAAAATTGATTTGTACAAGGCGTGATCAAGATGATAATTTTATCGGGGAAAATATTCTCACCTGCATTGCTAGCACATCTCATCCGTGTTGCAAGCTGGGAAGGCTGAGTTATAAAAATCTGCCTGATTATTTTTTACTTGATTTAGAGACTGAAATGATCTGGGCTAGTTTAACTTTTTAATGCATTTACCAGCGCTGTTTTGTTTGTGATTCAGGGGAAAATATTTAATATCTATTTTTGTGTAATGTTGTCAATGTACTGTTCGTGGTAGATTTAATAACAGTCTTGTTATGCGCTATCCAGTCTTCTAAAAAATACAACTAAGCAAGCAAGCCCACTTACTGTAGGGCCCAAAGCTGTGGATCCTTTGGCTTGGCTGAACTTTCCAGCTCTCCCCAGCACTCGGGAGGGTGATTTTAGAAGTCGGTAAAAACAAAGGAGATGAATCAATGAATCTCAAACCGTGATACCCAGAGAAAAATGTCTGAACGACATCCTGGAGGGAACTTTGGCACGTAGGCTATTGATGACCTTTCCAGGCCACTATCTTGCCCGTTTTGTCTAATGTGACAACCCCATGGCTTGACTTAACACCAACAAAATCAGTCCTCCTGTTAACTCTGCAAGAAGCTGGATCGCTTACTCCGTCTGTGAGAAGCTTGCTCAGCTAGGTCCAAGACCTGAAGCATGCCCTAGAACTGAATGGTGGGCTCCCAGAAAGGAAACTGCATGTTTTTGCTGCCACGAATGGTAATTTGTATTTAAAAATAAGTACGAGGCATTGCCAAAAAAAAAAAAAAAAAAAAAGCCCAAAAAGCAGGCAAGTGGAGTTCTGGCACAGTTTGTCCCCAGCTCTGCAAGGGAGGCTGAAGGGGCCTATTCGCCATGCGGGTTTACAAAGCAGAGCTGCCTTCTCCGCACAGTATTTCTAGCAACGTGCTGCTGCAAGCCAGCCCACTCCCTGGTTGCCCTGTGCTGCGAAAACAACTGCCATTTGGGCTGTCATGTTCTCCTCTCCTCTGTTGGCTGAGGTCACTTGCTTGCCTCTTCATTTCTATTCTTGCATATTCCCTTTCAGAGAAAGACAGAGAGAGTGAATCTTACCAGATGCCTGCAAAGCCTTTGGGGCCTTTAGAGAAGATGCCTGTAGCCCCTCTAGAGCTTGCAGGACCACTGCAGCAAGATTATGCTCTGTCAGGGTCCCACCAAGAACCCCATTTAATCTGCAACCTTTTCGCTTTTCCTTCCCTTCCATCTTATTCTTGTATTTCTCACTGTTTATTGAACTGATCACTCTTGCATAATGAGGAGGCTGTTTTTCTCTCTGTGGTTGTACTTTGAGCCCTGCTTTTTTAAGATGATACCAAAAAACTGCCTGAGTTAGCCTGGGTGGGTCCAATGCTACTTGCATGAGAAAAATATTTGCTTCCCTGAATATCTGTATTTTTCTTCTGCGAGTACAGGAGGAAAACAGAACAACAAGTTCCTAGCAGAGGATCAAAACAGTGGAACAAGCACTGGTTCACGTAAGGAGAGACAGGGCAGAGCTGAAATCTCTAAAACCAAGCAGGAATCATTTCAGGACATTTTCAGACTGCAGGTCTCTCATAGGTGCTAACAGAGGGTGCAGCACAAGATCACTGCAAAGTTACTTTCCTCTAAAAGTCATTTGGATCACTTCTGAGTACAAAACTGGGCTGGAAAACCTAGTTTGCGATGAGATGTCTGACGCTTCTTGCTCTCCAGCCAGATCACATGAAAATCTTTGGCAAAGAATTTAGCACTCTCAAAATCTCCTAGCAGGAACAATTTGCATTTGCAAGTGCAGAGGAAATCAGTAACCTGCTGATTCCCTTGGCCTCTCCTATATGCATAGTTCAGAGGGATTTGTGCACACAAGTGCTGCACTCAACTTGACTGCCCGTATGGGGATTGTTGTCTATGTGTGCCTAAGGCCTGCAGTTATCATCTTTGTAGCTGGAGACTAGGCTAGAAGAAAGTGGGAGAGATGAAAGTCATAAAGTTTGGGGAGCATGGGAGCTTTCAAGGAGAAACTGGATGACATAGCGATGCTTTTTTGGGAAGAGAAAAAGCAAAATATCGGAGAAGTAAAATTTGGAGCTTAGTAAACAATGGTGAATGATTTCCTGTAGGAAGCTGCTGCGCTCAGAGAGAAAGCAAGTTATGAAAACCCTTAAATCATTAGAGAGGCGGATGAGAACTCCAGAACCAGACTGAAGGCTACATACTGGGCTGGGTTTAGGGCAGATTAAGATAGCTACCTTTTATTTAAACGTACATTGTCAGATGAGCATGCCAGGCAACCACTGAGAAGTGGTCTTGCGGGACACAAAAGTCAATCTTGGAATTAGCTGCACGGTGTCTTTGAATGTCCCGTCAAGTGGTAGGGTTCTGAGAGGGAGGGAAGGAGGGAGGGTCACGAGCACAGTAGGGATTTTGCAGACGATTTCATGTGCTTGTAGAGGTGGAGTTGCTTGATCATTTCCTCCTTTTCATGGAGGGAACTCTTCATGAATGGCATAGCCCTGGGCTGTCTTTACGTGATGCTGTGCAAATGAGGTTTTGCATACCAGCACCACCATGTTCACATGTGAGCTCAAAAAATTAGGATTAGTATTTGCAGAGAGGAATTCCATATATGCTGAAGGCACAGAATAATACTCCGGTAGTGCAGATCAGTCAGTTGCCATACTTTAAGGTCTCCTTCAGAAAATAAAGATGGTCTCAGAACGAAGCTCCTGTTTGCAGAGCCCAACATCACATCTCCAAAATGGCTCAGGTGAGATTTAAACACTCCAAACCAGAAAATGAGATAGGATCATGTTTGGGCTTTGACATGTTTTCACTGGGTGGGGGGGAAAGTCCCAAAACGACAATTTACTGTTTTTTATTACTGTGAAATCTTACCCTAGAAACAGACACAGCAGAATGCACCCATCTTGGGTGGAGAAGGGGATTTATTTTGTTATGCAGCTGTCCTTAATTTCTAGAATATATTTCCTAGCTCCTCAACGGTGGTGACTCTTTCTCGTATCTACCAAGCTAAGCTAAGGAGCAAATCTGGGAGTGAGGGAGTGTTATGGCAACTTCCTGCAGTGCCCGGTGGCTGTTGAGGTGTGGGGAGTGTTGAAGGATAATATCCCCCCAAAGCCTTCAACAAAAATTGTGTATGAGTTCCTTGTGGGCGGTACCCTGTTGCATAAGGAGAAAATGCAGGGGGGCCCCGGTGCAGCAATGCTCCTTCTTTCTCATCATTCCTTAGGTTTCCCTGGCTGTTGTAATTTTAGACCCATTTTTTGCTTCTCAATCCATTGCCATCGCTGGATTTGCATTTGCTTAGCACCAATCGTGGTGATCTCTAGGTGAGTTTTCCCAGGGAAACGAGGATGGTGCCGAAGCAGGATTCACCTATTGGACAAATAAGATGATATGTGCTGCAGTATCTGCTGCAGAGTCAGTGCCTCGTAAAGGAGATTTTATTCTCCCGTGGCAAATCCAGCATAAAAATAGCTTCTCGTAGAGGTATCGCGCGCA